AGAAGCAAGTGAGCCAGAGTAGCTTACATCTGGTGCATAGAAAAATAAGGGTCTTACCTCAAAGTGTGGCACGTGGCATTGGCGAAGGCATTTTGACCAGCCCGCGAGCCTGATTAACAATGACTCTATTTTTAACATGAGAGATGACCTTCAAATGAAATTTGTTATATGTCATTTTCCATAGAATGTCTGCACATCTCACTGCACTAAAAATATTAGACTATCTGCCAGTTATCTTCCATGAGACTTATTTTACCAAGTTGCATTGCCTACGTTTAATGTCAAATAATGGATACATGTTTGTTATGACCCATGGCTACATTAAAAGATAACAGAAGCAAAAGGAACGATAAAGTGAAAGAGGCCAGGGAGGGACTGACATGTGAGGTAGCAGAAATCTAAAGACAGTTAAACATACGCGCATTATACATGCCTTGTGAATGTGTGGATGATACCGCATGTGTACGTATGTAAGTGTATATGTATGCAACTATTTGTACTCGTATGTATGGGTATATGTGCTTCGTTTTTGTTTGATGTGTGTGTGTGGTTCATTTGTGGAATAATTTTCAATAACAGTTTCAAACCTACACGTCATAATTTCATCCATTTCACTTTGGTTGATTTTTTTCACTTTGAAGTATTTTGACATTCCTTGAGGAAAAGTAATTTTTGTTAGGTGTTTTTTAATTTTAGATTTTCTTTTGTTTTTCTGATTTCTCAATGTTTATTTTCATTATGGTTTTAAATATTTAGGTTGACAGGGGTCTGCATATGTAATTTTCCTTAATTTTTCATCAATGGCCTTCGTCCGGCCTGCGACCCGTCATTATAACACGATCCAGCCCACGGGGTCGAATGAGTTGCCAACCCCTGAAATATGTGTATGTTGTAGTGCTAAGAAAGCAACAAGAAAGACTGTCATTCATTGTTGCTTGTTGGCTGCTGACAATGTGTGAGGGGGACCCACTTTCTCAGCTTGTATGCCTCTTCTCTATGCAGTGCAGGTGAAGTCTGATTGTTTCATCAGAAAACGGGATGCATTTGGCAAGCTCACCACAGGTTTGGCTGTTGACCTCCTCTATGGTTGCCTTCAGGGCCTCATCAATCAGGACGTGTGGCCGGCCACTGCGAGGTTCATCCCAAAGGAACAGATCTCTCAACCTGAACTTCTGGAACCAATTCCTGGCTTGACATATTCAGTGACTTACTGCGGACACGCCCAACCTTAAAGTCATAAAGCTGAATGAATGAGCTGCCTCGACACCACCATGTTTCCTTGCTGCTGCTTGAGCTATGACTGATGTGTGTGCACAGCACACCTGCATTGGTCAAGAGCAATGCTCCTACTCCCACTGATTTTTTCCTGGCATGTGACACTCAGTGTGTATCAGTCACTTCTTCCCATATGATGTAAAAAATGGCAAGGACTTCTTTGCTTACTTTAATTACCTGCTATTTTTTTTTTCATAAATATGTTACAAGGGCACTGACAGGCTGAGCACTCTTAGCCCTCATTAGCAACTGTTGGGGCGCACCCACCTTCTAACTCGTAATGGACTGGTCCCTCTTATATAAGTCAGCTCTGGAGAGAGAGAGTGACAGAGCGTCAGAGAGAGAGTCAGCGTTAGCAGTCCAGATAAGCTTACCCGGTACATACCGTTGGACTATAGACTTTGGATATTGTTTCGTACTAACCAACCTTCGTTCTACTAATCACTCTATTGTTAATTGCTTTTATGAATATACCAGTATTTTCCTCTACAACTGTGTTTGTCTTGATTCATACACCGACACGCGGGAAACTCACAACATCTCAGCAACCAATCTCAGAGAAGAACCACTGAATTTAAAACTGTATAAAAGGGAATGGAAAAACATTCTTATCTTTTTTCCATTACCAATCATGGTAATATAACTCATAGATACAAAAAGAAAAAGGTAACCTTGGAAAGCCATGGCACTCTAAAAAATGAAACAAATTGAATGTCTACGTAATTCAAGTCCACACCAACCAAAAATGTTTCTTTTTAAATAAAGACTTAGGTAAGTCATTGAAAGCAAAACATTAAAAAAAAGGGTTTATTTTAGGTGTATTGAAAGTTTTATCTAAAAATAAATCAAGTAAAAAATAATAATATCAATGAAATTAAATTTGTGTACGTGTGCATGTTTTGTTTTAGTGTTGTCGAAAGTTTTAAAAATATAGAATTTTTATTTTGTTTTTACAATTCACTTTCTTTTTTTGTTGTTAAAAAACATAAAAGAAAGAAGGAAAAGCAGAAAAAGTTGTAGACAGGAAATGTTGTATTGGCTTAAGTTATTAATTAATGAATGAATGGTTTGGTCTGTTAATGAATGAGCATGAATGAATGAAATACAACTGTGCCTGAATTAGATACGCCTTAAAGTGTACCATTTTTAAAGAGACAAAATATAAAACAATTAAAATTAAAAAAACGTCATTGTGACATTTTTTTTATTTTTTTTAGCCATAACCAACTCTGTTCAACAGTTGGACAGAATAATTTAGGCTTTTTTCAGTATTGTTTAGTTTACACAATTTTGGATAATATTTTTACAAATTGAAAAACACAAATCAGTAAACGAAATTCGTGGTTAACTAGACAGATAACTTTGTCTGCAGGGTAGTGGTACTTAGAAGTAGTATTTAATTTAGAGGTTTGAGAGTCTTCTGGTAGGTCACTAAAAGTTTCACCCTTCTGTACCGTGTGGAAACGATTTTTTTCTTTACCTATTGTTATACATTTGAGATATATCCTCCTACACCATCCATTCGACCCCCCCACACACACACACACGTGCGTGGGCGGGCACACTGCACCCCCACCACACACACCTGCGTTTGTTCATAGCCTCACCAATGGTCGACATGCACAAGATAGACAATCACAATTGATAGAGACTCATAGGACATTTCATTCCAAAATTGTTCTGAAAATCAACCCGGTACAACGCACACATGCAGATAAATGTATTTAGCATTTACAAACTCATTTAATCACCTGCATACACACTACTAAATACTTTTACCCTCCTGACACTTGAAAAAAATTGGTGTGGGTGGGTAAGGGGCTTATGCTGGTCTCTAGGACTAAATAGAACATTTTTGTGATGCGTCGTACCCCGAAATATACATTGTCGAATTACATAAGAAAAAAGGTTTTTTTTATGAATAAGTTTAACGAAATTAATTTTGATCACATAGCAAATAATAAAAACATATCTTGTCTGAGTACATCTGAGCTTAGATAAATAATTTTGTGTGTGTGTGTGTGTGTGTGTGTGTGTGTGTGTGTGTGTGTGTGTGTGTGTGTGTGTGTGTGTTCGTACGCGCTCGCGTGTGTGTATATTCAGATGAATGGATGAATGAGTCGACGAACAATCAGTAGTCAAACCGAGACACACATACATACATACATACATAAAAAACTTATTCAAACTAAAAACATAAAAAACGCGATACTGAAGGTTTAAAATCCACTTATTTATTATTTTTTTATTATTTTTAAATTGGAGTCTTTTAGTTTTAGATTTTAAAATGTAATATTCCCAATAAACAAACCAAAATATTGGTGTATATCAAACCTAATTTGTTTTGAGAGACTGAGAGGAATCTTTTTCCTTTTTCTGATTATCAGTAAAAAAATAAATTGTTCATATTGACAAATTTAGTGTGTAAACTGTAAGGAAACCTAATTAATTATAATTCTCTTTATTAAAAAAAAAACTTTAAATAATAAAATATACTTTCTGAAACGTTATTTGAGAAAAATAGCTTATTTCTATTTTAAGTTTAATAATCAATCCGGGTTGAAACATAATTACTTTTAGTTTTAGTTTAAAATATCAGAGAAAAAAAGCATCTTCTTTTTAATTTTAAGATGAGTGAATTAAAAATATAATAATATTGTCAAAATTCGGATGAAGAATAGAGATCTCATGTATCAATTTTTTACATGGAAATATTTGTCAACAATAGCTTAGCTTCTTTTTTCTTTTTTTTTTAATCAAATTTTGCAAATCGTGCACATAAAAAAAAAACAAAACAGTGTATATTTCTAGATATTTATGATTGTTCGTATTCAGAAAAAAATAAGCTAGCTTTTTTTTCCAACTGTACTTATTGCTTTACTTACATAGTGCCTGGTATGTGTGTGCTTGTAGTTTGGGGTCATTTTGTGTACTTTGTAATATGGTATGTGCCCATCATGTACGTGCGGTGGGGTATAAATTTTTGGTTGTTTGTTTTTTGCTCATTCAAAGCTTTAAAAATGCAAATTGGTACATTTGAAAGTTCTATTTTTTATGTGTGTATATTTTTATTTATTCATTTTTTTTTCTTTTTATTTACATTAAGTGACGACTTTTTTCTTTTTGCTGTTATTTTTACAACATTTTTTTTGTTTAACCCTTGCGTACTCCTACCCCGGTGACTGCCGATCCGCATAACGTTCCAGGGAATTTCAAATTGAACCCTTTTTAATCTACGCGGGTAGATTGCTTTTAACACTGTTGTCCATAACTGGTTATTTATTGATTCATTTTTTACATGAAAATTGCTAAAAATACCTAAAAAAAAGAAAGCATCTTAGAGACATCAGATACAATGCTTTTTTAGAATGTTTTTTTTTTAATCGCCCTCCCCCTCAGCTAGGCAATGAACTCGCTAAGACGCAAGAATTTGATTGAATTGTTTTTTACTGCTTATACATCGAACCCACCCTTTGCGGATTATTTAAAGTCAAAAAATATTTTTACATTGTAAGAATTTTAGTTGGGGAGGGGGAGATATTAATGATTTAGTGATATAAGTTTTACTAATTAACCCATGGCTGGGGGAGAGAATATGTGGAGTCGTAGTATTTGCGAGTATTTCAAGAGTATTTGCGCGTAAATGAATATATAAGGAAGCCAACGGGAATTGGAACTCAGTTCTCCGATTAACAATTCCAAGCCATTATCCATTAAACCGTAAGCTTACAATACCTGGTATTTTCAAGCGATCACTCATCTAGGTACTGACCAAGCTCGACGTTGCTTTACTTCGGTGATCGTAAGGGAAGTTGTGTTTCAACGAGATATGGCCGTAAGACTGGTCATTTATTGCTCGTCCCCTGAATTTGTACTACCCGGCTCCGGGACTGAACTCCCAATTACTGCCCTACCCAATGCAATTCACAAACCAAGGCTATAATTATTTATTCTAAAGGTTTTTATTATTATTGTTTCCTTATCTCCGTAACCAGTAACGAAAAGAAATTAGTCCAAATTTGAGTTGAGTTGAGGCTGTTCATTATTTCCCACTTCTTAAAATTATAAAACAAAAATTAAAGCCTAAAAAATGTATGAATTCACTTTTTGCCCTTTGCCAAGATAACTAGATAAAATCATCTCGGGATATTTTCTGTTAATTTGAGGGAAAATGACGAGAAAACACACGTCTTATATTTAACGTAACAAGACAGGGAATTTATTTACGAATTTACACATTTGAAGTTGTCAGTAGCTTAATCCAGGAAAAGGAATCAAATATTTAAAGTTCGTAGTTTCAATAAATTGTCAAGAAGAGAAAATGTTCATATTAAATCATCGGACACAAAGTAATATTCCAAAATGTTTAAATCAAATTGAGAGAGTTCGTTTTCACATAAAAGTTATACGGTTATATTCAACATGAATGAAAAAATATATTTTAAGGTACTTAGCTTTGGAGTTGAACAGAGTTCTTTGAAATTGCCCTGCTCTCATTAGAGGCTGATAATGTATCAGCGTGTAATTTGACACCGCCGTTATTCAGACGCGCGGATTTCTGGCTTTCTGCCTCCTGCCTCTTTCTGCTTTTTCTTTCTCTCTGATTCGATTCAATTTTCTCTGCCTATTTATATCAAAAAGCGATTTCACATCAGCTCGTTACTTTTTTCTTAGTTTGTAAGCCGCTCCCTTTTCCATTGGTCAAAATAAATTTTCACATAGGCTCGTTAAACTTTGCCTTGGCCTTTTCTTCAGCCCGAAGGCAATACCTTTTTCTATTGGTCAAAATACATTTTCGCATAGACTCGCGAATTTGAAAACAGTGGGGAAAAGAGGGTTATTTTTATTTCGTATTCACCCCAAATAATGTAAAGTTACTATTTCGCAAGTATTAATTCACCCCGCAAAAATATAAATTTTACATCGATGTTTATTAGTTATTTTATTAAATTTAGAGTCAGGGTTAACTGCCAAACCAAATGGGTATTTGGGGGCATATGCCGTGAAACAAAAGAATGTTTCATTAACTGTGTGACAGAACAGGCTCCACATGACGGGACACAATCTGAAGCTTTATTATGTCGTATTGTTAGAAAGGATATACATCTTTGAAAGATAATCCCAATTATATTCATCTGACTGTAAATCATAATATGAGTTTCGTTGACCCAGAAACATCACACGCAAACAATCGGATGTACCTGTCGAAACGCCAAAATGAAGAATGTTTGGAACTCATCGCAGCATGATAGACTTTTTTATTTATGTGAGTTCCTTTGGAGAGGTAAGGCAAAAAATATCAACGAATGCATTTTTGAACGAATTTTAAAGGACATTTCTGAATTTTGGTGTGAATTTTAGTAAATATAAATTCTTTTTATTTTGGGATGAATCAATATGTTGAGGTGAATTAACAGAAAATATCCACATCTTGTCAGTCGACGACGAAGTGGGTACTGAAATCCTTTCTCTTCTAAATAACCTTTGTTAAGTAGAAACAACAAAACTTTCTTATTCAACCTTGATAATTGAGGCAAATAAAAAGCATCTATCTTTCACTGTTATATTGGTTATATATAAGAGGAGGCACGGTGGAGCAGTGGTTAGCGGCTTGGATTGAGGAATTGCAGAGCCGAGTTCGAATTCCAGTCGAATCCACTGCATTCACTTACGTGCTAATACCCTTGGGAAAGGTATGTATCCTCTTCATCTCCCTCCAGCTATGGGTAAAATAGCAGGACAGACTGGGTTCTATAGCCTTGGATGGCAACTGGTCTAGGAGAAGGACAACTCTGAATTCAAAACCTGCGGAGGGTCGTTTGGGAACCTTGTGGCATGCATTCGGTGCACCAGGTTTCTGTATTCGTCCCTCCAAAAAGTGTGGCTGGTCCTGCACAAGGCCTTCACCACTATAAACAAATCTCATGTGCCGGTGTCGGGATGTCGGTTTCCTGGGGACTTATCGGCCTGACCCTCATACGTCGAACGCGACGGGAGAGTCGATTATATATATATATTAACGCCATATCCTTTATAATACTGATGGTTCCATTATATTTTTCTATTAATTCCGTACCATTATTTTCTATGAATTGGCATCTTGGAAAAGATATCGTTTCCAGTTGCCATTTCTACGGTTTTGTATTCATTTGTCCTTCTCCAAGACTGTCTGCCATTTAAAAGACCAGTTTATTCTGTTAAACCCATAGTTGGAAGGAGGAGAAATTGGTTCATGTCTTTTCCAAGGACAAAATGAACGGAACTTGAAGTTCCAGCCTTAAAAAATGTTATGTACATAATTTAGTATATGTGCAATGACTGTCAGTACGAATCTGTTCCACTGTCTACGTCCGAAAAGGGTATTTAATAACCACTTGAACAGAACACGGTACAAAACTGAGTTTAAAAAGTGGAAGTTAAAGAACAAGAGACAACAAAAAAAAAAATATGTTCAAGCACCTTCGGCATTGGATGCTAAAGATTAATTCTAGTCTACACATTGTAATAAAATTGGGAGAGGTATCGTCTGGGGCGGAGAACGGTCCCATTTACTTCTTTTTTTATCCTAGTTGAGATTCTGACTGGGCCATGTGATATTACGACTGTGTATTCAAAACATGAATAATGTTTCCTTAGAAAAAGAGAAAAAAATTAAAGTTAAACATATAAATTAATGCTGCCGTAAAAAAAAAAAAATCTCACCTGAAGAAGGCCGGAGCGTACAACGACCGAAACGTCATGAATGTGATAATAGTGTAAATTTTTTAAAAAGTAATTAAAAAAAAAATGAGGACAGCGTGCAAAAGTACTTCTTTTGTGTTTAGTTACTGCTTAATTTTGAACATACGGTGTTACGTAGACTCGTCGCCAGGTGGGTGGGCCTGGGGAAAGTTACTCCACCTCCCATACCGTGAAAATGATGTTAACTAATTTTAGTACACAAATTCTTACTCCCCACCTTGAATGCACGCTCTAAAAAACAGTCTTCTTGCGATATGCCAGGGTGTACTAGTGTATGTTAGTTAAATTATACGTGTGTCTATCATTATTGAAGATGCCGTATTGCGCATGTACTGCATGTCTGTTTTTGTTTTTGTTTTTTTGTATTCTAATGTACTGTGTGTATGCACGTGTGTTTCACTATTTTTGTTGCATGCCGGTGTACGTATCACTTCTTGACCCGGGTACTTAGCATGTTGTTTGTTTGACAATGTTTATAAACATTTTTTTTGTTGTAATAATCATCTGCATGTATCACTAATAGTTTATTACGCATTTGTGCGTGTGTTATACGCACTTAGGAGTAATTCTCTATGTATTGTAAACAAATGTGTATTATTATTGTGTAATATATTTTTATTTAATTTATATTATAAAAATATCTTTTCCTGCATCTTTCGTGGTCTTCTTATTGAATATAGAATGTAATTCGCACAAGATTGTTTTTTGTATTCAGTGTTTACACAGCACATAGATTGTTTTGTTTGTCAATATTTTAATAAACTTTACGTATTTACCGTGTGTAGTGTACTTCTTTCGCGTGTGTGTGTATATGTTTTCTTTGTGTCCGTGCACTTTGTGTATCTTTCTTTATTTGTGTGTATAATGGATTTTATCCTTGAGTAGTGTGTCTTTGTTTTAGTTTAAATCGTGTGTCTGTGTGAGCGTAAATTGGTCCGTACAGCAGTCAATTCAGCAGTTATGATTATTGTTGTTGTGATGGTTGTTGATGCTGATGATGGCAAAACCGACATTCTTCTTCTTTCTACCAACACCGTCACTGACAGTAGCAACAACAAAACAGCACTTCGTACAACACACAGCATATAACAGGAGTTAACTTACTGCTGATCTAGAGGTTGATTTTTATCTGTCTCGAGTTGTTGGATGGATACGTTCTTCTGACACGAGTAGTGGTGGTTGGTTTTGTTGCGAACGGGGGGGAAAAATGTACTTACTTAATTTTCTATTGCTTCTCTCATTTACATTTATTTAGAGAAGCAAAAAGCAGGCTATAGTGTACAATGGGAGTTATTTGAATCCCACTCCAAACGTTGGTCTTTCTCTAAAGAAGAACCTCACGACATAAATGACGTTGTCTTCTCTAAAGATGGGATCATTGAATAATTACAAAGAGGAGAATTTTTAAAACTTAAAATTCGTGAAAATATATATGTCAGAGGAACATTACAGACAGGAAATGGATAGAAAAATTAAGAAATAGTTTTTTTCCGTCTTTCTCTCGGACGAATATTCCTGTCGCAGTTTCGTCTTAGTGGAGGTACTCCACTCCACACTCTCTACACATAAGAAAACAATATGCACTGTTTATGTTACACACCAAAAAAGAAAAAGAAATTAAATAGAAATATATAGTAATAAGCACAAATTAGCGTGTGTTAAATTTAAAATGAATTAGATTTTTTTTAGTATGTTTATCGTAACAGACTTACATATCCGAAGCCTAGAGTTTAAAATGTTTTTTTTTCTTTAGCTAGAGGTATGTGGCATTGGCGTTGTGTTCGAACGATACGAATATTTTTTTTAGACTTTACTGTATAAAAAAAAAGCATTAAAAGTCAGTCTTTTGTATTTAAATTTTGTTACCCTTCTTCGATTGTTTTACAACTCCCTCATTGTGTGGACAGGAGTTTACTAGCAAACAGAGAAAGATGAAGCGAATACTTACCATTCGTATATCCATGGATTTTTCTACATTGGACTTACAAAATTAAGTAAGTATTTGTTCAGTTTATTTAATTATTAGTACGTATGTTGTTTTTTTGTTTGTTTTTTTTTTGTAGAATTAAAAATAGCAAAATGCAAGAAAGCTTGGTAG